CCCCAAAACCCCAAAACCCCAAAACCCCGTGCTATTTTATTTACTAAAAATATCTAGTAAATCTAAAGTGTTATAGTTATGATATAAAATGAATATTGAATTTTTCATTATGATGATCCATGCTACAATATCATGCTTTCAGCATCTCTGAAAGACACAAATGAATAATACTCCTCACCGAAACCAAAAACGTTTACAGCAAAATGCTCCATCAAAAGCATTCTGGATAAAAAGTTAAATTATTTTTCTTCTTTCTCAAGTTAATCTCTTGCATGAATAATAATTAGAACCAAATAATTTTTAAGTGCAAAAGCATCAATTGTACTCTTTGATTTACCTATTAAATGTGCATATTCCTCAGTAGCCATCATCAATGTTTCATTTAGGGTGAACTGATTTCGAGAATGTTAAGATTTAAATGAAAAAACTTACGAACATTTCATAAGGAATTTGGCATCTAAAGAAGACCTTGAAGATTTGTAAAGATTTCTTAGGAGTAATATCTGTTTTGAAGTTTGACTCAAATATTTCATTGAATCTCTTGAGATTTCCCTTGTAAATTCTATGAATATTTTTTACTTTTTCATTAAATTTTCTTTCTTCATCTTGATACATATTAATCAAATTTCTTCTTAGGTATGACCCTATCCTCTCATATATCAAACTATCAATCATTAATTAATCCATGAAATATTACGTTTCGACAAAGTTGTCTATAGCCATATCTTTGTCTTTATCATTAGCTCTTCCAAACTCCTCCTATACTGAATCAGTCTTTAAGAGATTTTTCTTTAAGTTTTCAGCTATCCTTTTGAAGTATTTGCTTTAATTGTGTTCATGACCCTTCATTAAAATATGATTTTCCTTCAGTATCCTTATTTCCTCCAAAAAGTCTTCATAATTTTCTTCCATTTCAAAGAACACTCTTTGTTTAAAGAATTAGACTAGTCTATATTAAAATTGAATTCGAACATGATACACTTACTCAAATGGATCACGCATGACTTTCTTAGCAGACATTTGTCCCAAATCTTGATTGTCTTCAATTAAAGACTACTGATGATAATTTTTATCAAAAAACCTTTAATCCAAACTATTACTAATAATTATACGGCCAAAGTGCTTTGACGCCCCATTGTTTGCATAATAAACATCTCTTGATATGATCTGCACTTCTATTTGCTTATTTTGTGATTAGACAAGTTTCTTATCTTTAACCTCATAAGACTTCCCATTTAGAGACTACAGCTCTTTACCGTCGAAAGAATTTATCATAATGTGCTCAAGAATGAATATTTCATCAATTGTGCAATTTTAAAGGATAGTATTAGTAGGTAAAGCCAGGATGTAATCATTTTCTGTCAATAACTCAACATAGTTTTGATAGTTCTTGGTTAATTTCTGCATAAACTAACCTTGTAAATTTTGGTTTGCCATTGATTCTGCTTTAATTTATTACAAAATTATTGGACTATATAAATCAGTATTAATCTAATGGGGTTTTGGGGTTTTGGGGTTTTGGGG